TACCTCGAGGGCTACATCGTCCGCGTCAAGCCGCTCATGCCGCTCAATGACGTAAGTTTGATTTAGGTTCTAAATTAGCTCACTTTAACCCTTTCCTTTACCCCTAAACCTAGATCATCACCAAACTGAAGGACGACTTTGAGCAGATGTGGGAGACGGGCAAGGTGCCCGGCTGGCCGAAGGAGACCACCGGAGCCCTTTCCAACACCGGCGCCGCTCTCGACCTGAGCGCTTTCAGTTCTCGTGAAGAGCTCGCCTCTTTGGGCCTGGACCGCCTCAAATCGGCCCTGATCGCCCTGGGCCTAAAGTGCGGCGGCAGCCTGGAAGAGAGGGCAGAGCGGCTGTGGAAGACGAAGGGCAAAACGGCGGATGAGATTGAACCGTCGTTGTTTGCGAAGAAGAAGGGCGGCATCTTCAGCGACGTGGCCAAGCAGAAGGCAATTGCCTTCATGGAGGTGCAGATCTACAAGTACATTGACATTCTCGATGAACAGGTAATTTGGATGGGATGAGGTGATTCTGATGTTCCATTTCTAATCTTTTGTTTCTATTTCAGCGCCAAACCACAAAGGAGAACGTCCAGCGGAAGCAGGCGCGAACCGCTGGCGAACGCGAGGAGTCCGACGAGGAGGTGGAGGACTCCGACTCTGAGGAGGACGAGGAGAGCGACGTCATCTACAATCCAAAGAACCTGCCGCTGGGCTGGGACGGCAAGCCGATTCCCTACTGGCTCTACAAGCTGCACGGCCTCAACATCAGCTACGTCTGCGAGATCTGCGGCAATGCGCAGTACAAGGGGCCGAAGGCCTTTCAGAAGCACTTTGCTGAGTGGCGGCACGCCCACGGCATGCGCTGCCTGGGCATCCCCAACACCGCCCACTTTGCCAACATCACCAAGATCGAGGACGCCCTCGCCCTGTGGGAGAAGCTGAAGAGCGAGAAGCACAAGGAGAAGTTCCAGGCGTCGAATGAGGAGGAGTACGAGGACAACGCCGGCAACGTCGTCACCAAGAAGACCTACGAGGACCTGAAGCGACAGGGGCTGCTCTAACTCACTGCTACTCACTTTACTCGCCATTTACTGCTGATCATCAGTACATACACGCTATCATTGTCATTGGAAAACGCATACGTTTGAGTACTCTCATCCAATCTACAAAATAGAAATTCCTCAGAGACTGATTGACTGGTTGATTTGATTTGCCTTGAGTCGTGACCAGCGCGCGCGCGACTCGGATGACTGCCACTCCGATTGCATCATCGGAAAAGGCGGGCTGGCTGGCCGCTGCCTCCACTGTGCAGCAGGTGGCGCCACTGGAGCCCCGCTCACCCTCTCTCTCTGTTTGTAGCCGGAGAGTGTCTATGATGAATCTTCCTCGCTCTTGCTCTATCTCTCTCTCTCTCCTCTGTCCATGCTCACGCGTCTGCTGCCGCTGCCGCCGTCTCAGTCACAGTCTGTGTCTGCGCGGCTCACTCGCACTCATCGGGCGCTCTCATCTGACAAGCTACTACTGCAGCTGCTGCACTGTGCTGGTGGTAGTAGTGAACCTCGTCGCCGTCTTCAAGACACCAACAACAGAGAGGAAGAAGTGGAAGAAGTGGAAACAACAACGAAAGAAGAGTGAGAGAGAGACTCAGCTGTAGGAACGCCTCACCATGAGTTTCTCTTCGGATGAGGTAGGTTCATTTTGGGCTTTTTGTGCTCTGTGTTGTCATCGAGTGTTTTGTAAGTGGATTCTAACCGGAATTGTTATTCTTCTTCTCCCTCCATTCCCCAGGTCAACTACCTCATCTACCGGTACCTGCAGGAATCGGGCTTCGTGCACAGCGCCTTCGTCTTCGGCCTCGAGTCGCACACCGTCAACTCGAACATCAATGGAGCGCTCATTCCACCGGCGGCCCTCATCTCCATCATTCAGAAAGGTTAGCAGCCATCTACTGATGATGGGTTTTCGATTTCTAATTAGCGAACTAACCTTTCCACTATCACCACCACCACCACAGGCATCCAGTACACCGAGGCGGAGCTGAGCGCCACCGACGACGGCTCGGAGCGGCAGATCGAGGCGCTCTCGCTGATTGACGCCGTCATGCCGGACGTTCGCGAGCGCTTCGCCAACATCAGAGACATCAAGCCGCCGCCGACTTCGTCGAGCAACAACCCGACGACCAACTGCAATAGTAATGGCTCCTCCTCGGCCACCAATGGCCGCGGCGGAGGGGACGGCAGCGGCGCCGGAGGAAGCGGTGGCGGTGGCTCAGCCGGAGCCGGCGGTGGCGGCGGCGGAAGTACCAATGGAACCGGAGGCGTCAACAGCCTCGACATCAAGACGGACATCACAATGAAGGAGGAGGGCGGCAGCGGGGGCAGCTCAACGAGTGCACTTCAAAATGGCAGCGCTCTGCAGTCTTCGGCTCCAGCCACTTCAGCGTCCTCTTCAGCCTCGTCCTCAAATCAGATCAGCCGAATGGAAGTGGACGGACCTTCTCAGCAGCAGCAACAGCATCAGCAACAGCAGCAACTTCAGCCTGGAGCCAACTGCACGCCCGTGGTTGTCTCGATGTCGCTGAACAGCTCGATGTCCAGCTCAGCTGCTGGAGCAGCCGTGGTGGCCGGTTTGGGTGGCCAGCAGCAGCAACAGCAGCAGCAGCTGGTCAACTCGGGTGGTGGTGGAAATTCGCGCTCAAACACACCCGGCACGATCATCACCGCCTCGGGCATAATCAGCGGACCGCCGCAGCAGCAGCAGCAGCAGTCGTCTAGTCTGCAGCCCTCGCAGTCAAACAGCCCCGGCATCCTCTCACAGCAGCAGCAGCAGCAGCAGAATGCGATGAACCAGCAAATGGCCGGAAATCCAAACGTCCTCGGAGGACCTCAGCAGCAGCAGCAGCTGTCCCTGTCGGGGAGCATGTCTGCTGCGGTGGCCGCAGCGGCCGCTGCCGCCGCCGCCGCTGCCTCTTCCTCCTCAGCTGCAAATCCTTCTGCCTCTNGCCAGCTCGCTTGGCTCGGGCGGTTTGGGCGAGCCGGTGAACGGCATTGAGATTCCCGCCTCGCGGGCGACCACCCTGCGCGGCCACGAGTCGGAGGTGTTCATCTGCGCGTGGAATCCCACCTCTGATCTGCTCGCCTCGGGCTCGGGTGACTCCACCGCCCGCATCTGGAACATGCACGACCCCAACAATCACCTCATTCTCCGACACTGCATTCAGCGAGGGTGAGTTTGATTTTTGCTGTGTTTTTTTACGACTAATGACCTCTCTTCTTTTGTGTTCCACAGTGGAGCGGAGGTGCCCTCGAACAAGGACGTCACCTCGCTGGACTGGAACAGCGACGGGACGCTGCTGGCCACCGGCAGCTACGACGGCTTTGCCCGCATCTGGACCACCGAGGGACGGCTCGCCTCGACGCTCGGCCAGCACAAGGGGCCCATCTTTGCGCTCAAGTGGAACAAGAAGGGCAACTACATTCTCAGCGCCGGAGTCGATAAGACGGTAGGCTTTTGGGAGGGTGCATTTAGTGTGTTTATTTCCCTTTCTTATCTTGATTCCATTCAATGTGTAGACCATCATCTGGGACGCCTCCTCGGGCACCTGTACGCAGCAGTTTGCCTTTCACAATGCGCCCGCCTTGGATGTTGACTGGCAGGTAGGGGATAACGTTTGTTGATGTTTACTTTGTTACCTAATTTTCACCACCACCATTTTTCCAGACGAACCACTCCTTCGCCTCCTGCTCCACCGACCAGTGCATTCACGTGTGCAAGCTGGGCAGCGACCGCCCAGTGAAGACCTTCGTCGGCCACATAAACGAGGTGAANGGTGAAGACCTTCGTCGGCCACATAAACGAGGTGAACGCCATCAAGTGGTGTCCCAGTGGCCGCCTGCTCGCCTCCTGCTCCGACGACATGACGCTGAAGATCTGGTCGATGTCGCAGGACAGCACGGTGCACGACTTTCAGGCGCACCAGAAGGAGA